TTAGATGTCCCAATTCTTATATTCTACAATTAGGCTTCAAAGGCAGCCACATAAATAACAATGTAGGATACTATTTCTATCACAATCAAATATATATATATATATATATATATACACTTTTTCATCTTAAAATAGTTCAGTATTTTAAAAACTTTGTGATTCATCGTTTTTAAAGTACCTAATTATTTTAGGACCAAAAAAATATATATTTTTTTGTGTATTAAGTTCGATTGACAGGAATGAATTCCTTTGCACATGTAAATGATTTTACAACACTTCTTTAACAAAAAATATACCTCAAACTTGAACATGGTAGGGCTGGTTTGGACATTTGAAAAAAAGACAAAATTGTCAATCCCCACTCACAGACAATTGTAATATTAGGCTCCATTTATTTCGACGTAAAATATTCTTTTTGAAAAATATTTTTCTTTTTCAAATAAAATATTCTTTTATTTACTTTATCGGTGCTCGGCAAAGGTTTATGTCGAGGTTGAGGTTGAGTCCATCGGACGAGACATGTAAAATAACTTGCTGAAAATTAATAGATAAGTTATTTTTGTCAAATTTTAATATTTTTTTTCTTCGTAAATATTTTACGACAACCAACACCAGAAAATATAAAAAAAAATTCTGAAAATTATTTTACGTCTAAACAAACGGAGCCTAAATATGCAATCATTTACGAACATGAAAATTCTAAAAATTTCAAATGAAGTATTGTGAGAATTCTAAAAATTCAAATGAAGTATTGTGAGAAGGGACGTGAACCAACCACTGCACATCAATTCCTTTTGAACTTTCAGTTTTTTTTTTTTTTTTTTTTATAGTTTTATTGATAGCTCTTATGCGGTCTTATGTGGTGTTTGGCGGCATAAAATTAGAGCTTTAGAATTAAAATTAAAGAAAATTTTAATTCACTTTCTTAAGTTATTATTTTTCTCCAATTCTAGTAATTTTAATTTCAAAACTTCAATGTTATACCTCCCACATTTGAAAAGTGTCCTTTTAATAGTTACTTCAAATTTATACTTTTATTGGCCTTTAATAGCATATCATCTTCAAAATGCACATGAATCTATCATTATTCTCAAGTTTATAGGTATTTCTTTTCATACATGGTCACTGATGACACAAAATCATGTGATTAGGTCTTCCATCTCCTCCTCTTGCTTTATTGTTAAATCTATAATTCAGCAATTTTGGTACCAAACTTTTATATTTTTAACTTTATAAATATACAATGCAAATACTTTCTATTATTACCAAAAGGAGGAGCCCAATAAAAATTTGCTATTATCACATGCACAATACTCTAAAAATGGAATAGAGATATAAACTCCACTGCACGATATCGTTTTGACATTTTACAATTAATTTTATATCCCCAGTTACATATCGATGTTTAAGGAGAAATTTTTTATTATTTCGATTTTATTTGTGACATATTATTACTAACGGATAACATACTAATCCGTGTAAATATGATCCACTAAATTTGTTTGATGGTAGACAAGGTGGCGCTGCCCAAGTAAAAATAAAAATATTTGCAATCTTCCGTGACCGGGGTCTACTTTTATCCAATATAGACGAAAGTCCTTTTGCCTTTTTACTAAAGAATCTAAAGTTCAACGCACTTCAGATAAATAAATTAAAGCACACACAATAATAAAAGGAGACCACAAAAATCAGCATGTGTCAAAGAAGGTGGTCCACATGATTTTGTGTGATCAGTGACCATGTATGGAAAACATCAACGGTGGATACTCATATGAGATCACAATCATGATTCAAATCACATCATCATCTCACCACCACATCATCTCCTACACATGCTTCTACATTCCCTCAAGTTCCATAGCTAGCTTCACCTTCATATTTTATTTGCTAACAAATTGGAAAACTTGTAAAAAAATTAAAGATTTCTTTTATTTCTATAATTTATTCTCATGTCCTTCTTATTTATTTTCCAAATAGAGCTACTCATTGTTTATGAGACTCGATGCAAAAATCATTTAAATCATCCTCTTTTTTTTTTTTTTTACTTAGTTTAGTTAGATGGAAATGACAGGAAAGAAAAATAAATTAAAAAATATTTTAATCTTGTAAGAATTTGGATACTAATGAAAATTATATGAGAAAATAATTTTAAGTACTATTTGAGTAGTTGTGATTTTATTGCATCTCAAATGGCTCCCTGAAAATTTGAAAAGAAGAAAGAGAAGATGATTACAAACGGAAGATATTGAATTAAAAGGATACATTTCAGTTTACAAATTTCAGTTCACAAATTTCAAAAAATTATTTCATTCCAATTGTAGAACACCTATTACTCGTATCAAGGAAAATGGTAAAATAATAATAATAATAATAAGTTTACTAAACAATTCTAATCTTAAACATAAGAAAAACAAATCTTTGAAGAGGATCACAAGCAGGGCCTTATGTATCACATTATCTCTAATATTCTAGAGAGTTAGGTACTATAAAGTGATAGAAGGATTTGAGTAAAACGTTATAGAATTTTCTAAAAAAGTAGAGAGTAAGTTAGGTACTACAGAGTGATAAAAGGATTTGAGTAAAACATTATAGAATATTCTAAAAAAAGTAGAGAGTTAGGTGCTAATAATAAATATCTCCATCAAAAATATTTCTACTATAAATAGGAGTGAAGCTCTTATTTGTAAGCAAGAAATCCTGAATTTCACCTGAGCATCAGTTAAGAGTCATTTTTTATCCCCACATTGGGAGTAGTTCAAACAAAACAATCTATGCATAATAATTTAAACTTGCTTTCTTCTTGAACTTGGATAACTTGGATAATATCTGCATTGAAGTCTTCATGATTCAGCTGCAAAACACCAAATCAATGCTGGTTCCGAATGTACTACCGATGTCATCTAACCCACCTTACCTAATAGTAAGTTTGTCAAATGTGCAACACACGCACACCCAAAAACACACAAACCTCAGTGGCATCATGACGAATAGTTAGCATGCTTGCTTCAACACAAACAATTTTTAACCGTGCCCCATTAAAATCATTGATGGAACGAGCAAACTTCTCAAAATTAACATCTGGGTGAATATTCATTTTTTTAGAGTGGATTTACAATCAAGTGAAATGATTCAATAAGAGTTCATGAGTAATGAGATATTGTGAAATTTATAAGGTTACCTGCAAAATTCGAGCTATGTGGTATGAGGAAACTCAATTTTACGATCCAATCGACCAGAACACATGAGTGCAGGATCCAAAATATCAGCTCTATTTATTGCTGCTATCACCTACAATTCCTGTACTAAATTACTAACTCTGATAATAATTTAAGTTAATTAAAATTTTATTAGTGAAGTAGCATTTTGTCGGTGGCATCTGAAGCATGATTCATGTACATGGACATAGATGAGTCTGTTATGACCAAGTGAATGTGAAAAATTATAATATGATGACACTCAAAATGCAGAAACCATGATCCAGAATTATATCAAATATATTTTGATTCACATCTAAGATGCAACGTAGTACTAAAAATATTGCAATCTTCCGTGACTGGTGTCTACTTTTATCCAATCTAGACGAAAGTCCTCTTACCTTTTACTAGAGAATCTAACGTTCAATGCACTCAGACAAACAAATTAAAGCACACACAATTATGAAAGCTATATAGCGTAGCATTGTAGAGACCCAAAAAAATCAGCATGTCCGAGAAGGTGGTTCACACGTCATAATTAACGAGAAAACGACAAAGTACCCATAATTGAGACGTGGCAAACATCCAACGGTGGATATAAATATAAGATCACAATCATGATTCAAATCACATCATCTCACCCCCACAATATCCACCCACCCATTCCTACTGCCTCAACATTTCCTCAGCACCTCCTCTTTAGTTCCATGGCTAGCTTCAGCTTCATCATTGGCATCATTGGTCAGTCTTTCTTTCTTACGTAACTTTGAATTTTTGTATATTTCTATATTATTTGTGTGTATATATATAGATTGTGAATGTATTGTTCCCAATTGTGAATTATTATGATTTGTTTGTTGCGGGCAATGTGATCTCCTTGCTAGTTTTTTCTTCTCCCATGTAAGTACAACTTTGAATATATAATATAATGGTCATATTTATTTCTTTATACTCCTCGATTTCAAATTAAACGTCGTCTTTGATAACTGTGTTTAGAATTTGAGTAAGCATGCATGAATTGATGCATTTTTAATTCAGATTTAATGTATAGTATTCATGAAGTAAGCGCAAAGTAATTAGTACCACTTTATCTTTGTGTCTCAAAGCTATTAGGTTCAGTAAAATAGTCATGAATGACCAAATCAAAGTATGGATTTCATTCAACTTGATATAACTTGGCAAATATATTTTTTTGCCAAATTAAAATTTTTTTTTTTTCTTTGACAAGAAACTTACACACTCATTTGTCCTCAGGATGACTTAAATTCACACCTCTCAAATTTGAGAGGTAAATAAGATACCACATACTATAACGCCTTCCATTTTTTTTTTTAAAAGAACCATTTACATATGTAATTTGTTGCCAATAAACTATTGACTTGTACTATAGATGATACTTGTATATTGTGCCATCTAAAAATGTTGCAAATTAACCCTTGGGAAAGTTTGTCATGTATGATTGTTGATTGACTCATTTCATAATTTTTGGATATTTATAGAAAATTGTAATGTTAATACAAATTTAATATATGTTATAGAGGGACATTTAGGAGAGTGGTGAAGAAGAAATCAACTGAGAATTATTAAGGACTTCCATGTATGACTACTTTGTTGAGCACAACTTCGTGGACTTTCTATGCACTTCTTAAACCGGGAGGTTTGCTTGTGGTAACAGTCAATGGCGCGGGTGCCTTCTTGCAGTTCCTCTATGTCACTCTGTTTTTGAGAATTATTAAGGACTTCCATGTATAACTACTTTGTTGAGCACAACTTTGTGGACTTTCTATGCACTTCTTAAACCGGGAGGTTTGCTTGTGGTAACAGTCAATGGCGCGGGTGCCTTCTTGCAGTTCCTCTATGTCACTCTGTTTTTGATCTATTTGCTCCCAAGGGGACAAAGGTGATAATAATCCATCTTCTTCTATTTGTAACCTAACACATCCATTTATTATATATGCTTTTCTTTGTAGAGTTAATCCAAACACTAGTCACCTTATTGTCACGATCCGATTCCTAAGACGCTTGGAAGATGGAAGACACGCATGCTGGTTGGCAAAGAGCAGAGTTTGACTGGGAATGGTTCCAGGGAAGGGGCGTGCAGGACCACAGGATGGTACCTTTTCAGAGTTCAGGCAGGTCGACTCGGTTCAGTTCGAGGTGCTTGTCGCTAGTCTTGGACTTGACTATGAAGAAGGGAGTTGGCCATCCCTGCACAAACTGGTCGGGAGCTGGAGCCGTTCCCCTGACGAGGCCATGGCAGGCCGAAACTAGTCAGCATGTATCCTTGGGAGGGCAGGTCGTGGTGGCTGACCAGGGCGCTTGCGCGAGCTGAAGCAACGCCTTGGTGCCGCACGGGCCGTGCCGCTGTGCCAAATCTCTAGGCCCGTGACAAATGGTATCAGAGCAGGACTTGGGGAAAAGCACGGTGGGGTGCCCCCTTGTCGGTCCGGGAGGGGTCAGAGAATGAAGACGGTGCATTGAAGTTGCGTCGATGAGGAGGAATCAATGCAGTTGGGGGGGAGAGCCTCCATCTCCCCAGGAAGAGGCGTCCGTTGAAGTTGCGCATTGAAGGGCCGGAGGGCCGCGCGCACCAAAGTTCGTGCTTAGTCCTTGGGTGATGCAAACCATGGTGAAGGGCGAGCATCAAGTCGGCAGAAGGCCATTACTTGCTCGGGATGCCGCGGAGGCGGCATGACGGAGAAGAGTCACGTCCTTGAGGAGTGGACGTCCCCTTGGTCCGAGGCCTATCATTGGGCGAGTGCAGTGCAGGGAGCTGCACAAGGAAGCGATGGTGGGAAGGCGAGCATACCGCATGGAGGCAGACTTTGGAAGGGAGTGGACGCAGTAGTGAAGCGCCGCACTGCGACGAGGACGTCGCAGGATTTGGGTGGGGGAGAATGTCACGATCCGATTCCTAAGACGCTTGGAAGATGGAAGACACGCATGCTGGTTGGCAAAGAGCAGAGTTTGACTGGGAATGGTTCCAGGGAAGGGGCGTGCAGGACCACAGGATGGTACCTTTTCAGAGTTCAGGCAGGTCGACTCGGTTCAGTTCGAGGTGCTTGTCGCTAGTCTTGGACTTGACTATGAAGAAGGGAGTTGGCCATCCCTGCACAAACTGGTCGGGAGCTGGAGCCGTTCCCCTGACGAGGCCATGGCAGGCCGAAACCAGTCAGCATGTATCCTTGGGAGGGCAGGTCGTGGTGGCTGACCAGGGCGCTTGCGCGAGCTGAAGCAACGCCTTGGTGCCGCACGGGCCGTGCCGCTGCGCCAAATCTCTAGGCCCGTGACATTATGCTATAGTTAATAGAATTCCCAATCTTCTTTCACTTCAAAACAAGAAACAAAAAAAGAAAAGAAAAGAAACTATAGTTTCATAAGACTATCTAAGTTGTGACGAAACGATAGTCATGAAAATTCACAAATAAATAATAATAAAATAACTTTGAATCCACGAATTTTAGGAAAAGAGAAAACTAATATGATTGATATATAATAAATTTAAAAATCTGCTTTGCAGTAAATCTATTTATACTAGAAAAGAAATCATAAAAGCAAAATGAATCTTCAAAGCAGTCCGATTTAGCACTGTATCTAATATTACGGAAAAAACAAAAATAATAATAGAGAAGTTAATACAACAACAACAAGCCTTTTTCACATATGCTTGGTGTCGGCTACATAATCTTATATTTTCATTCTGCTCTATCTAAGGCTATAGGCCAAACCACATGTTGTCATGTCTTTCTTTACTAATATATTGACGTGGTCAATTTTTTTTTTTTTTTTCCTAGTTGGTACTCACACACATATGTCTCTTCTGAGATTTGAACCCCTAATCTCCCTTTGGAGGTGAGGATACCAAAGGCGGCATGGGCCGGTTCTAACCCACATGATGAAGATTGGGCCAGGCAAATGGCCTGGGCTTAAATCAAGCTGTCGTGAGGCAAGCCCAATACCGAAGAGTGAAGCTGAAGGCCTGAAAGATGAATGGATCCATGGATACAAAAGCCTCAATGATGAGCCCAATGGAGGAAGTTAGTTAGGGATCTTCTAGAACATTGTAAACAATCTATAAATAGGTGAAAAATGAAAGAAAGAAGGGATCGAAATATTTGAAGTGTAATGAAACTCTGTCAATTTAGAAAGAGAAAATTTCTTGCATCTTCAATGGCGCCGTCCGTGGAAATCAATGAGAATTCATTGATTTTTCACTCAGATTGATTTGATCTAGTAGTATAGCGCGTGAAGACGAAGCCTGATCGTTGAAGGCCGAATCAAGGTCGATGAAATTGTGATCGGAGAAGGTGGCGTTCGATCTATGCAGTTTTGATTTGTGCTTGTTTTGGAGAGTTGTGTGTTTGAAAGTTGCTGAGATTGCTGAATTTTGTAGATTTGTCGCCGGAGCAACTCAGATCTGGTTAATCGCGATCGAAATTTAGCTGAGCTAGAATCCAGATCTAAAGCGTCTGCATTAGAAAAGCTCAGATCTGATCAGAAATTTGCGGTTAATGACTTTGCTACGATCCGGAATGATGATCGGAGGAGAGAGTTCGAATCTAGTGGAGAATGGCCAGCAGATGAAGCTTCATGAACTGATGAACATGATTGAGGCTCTGAGAAAAGAAAATACAGAGTTGAGAGCTGGAATGGAACGCTGAGAGGTTCCGGTTGCGCCGCGATTGCCTCCGGTGGGTGAAAGAGGCGTGCGACCTGATGAAGCACATCAAGGCGAGCAAGAGGGAGATAACCACGTCGATCTCCACCGCGAGGAGGTTAGGATGGAGAATTTACCGCCAAACGCTCGTCGAGCTGAGGATCGAGAAGGATCTGTACATCTTAATCTACATCGTGAGCACATCCGGCGGGAAGAAAATACAGCTTTCAATCCGCTTCAGGAAAGGCATAATCGCGAACAGGATATGGAGTTTGATTGTCACAAGATTAACTCGCCGTGGTAGAAAGAGTTCACTGAGGAAAGGTCGTTCGATCCACCTTATAGGCCTTCAATGGCCACATATGATTATAGGAGTTCGGAAAGAAGATCTACAGATCAGAGAGTCGTCACGAGGTTTGAAAGAGAGAATAAGGCCCTCCGTTCGGCAGCGCGGACGGTTGATTCGCCATTTACTGACGAGATCCTGAATGCTCCAAGCCCGAGGAAGTTTTCTATGCCTGTTTTCATTCTGTTCGACGGAACGACCGATCCGATTGATCATGTATACCACATTTAGTTGAAGATGGCACTGAACACAGAGAATGATCCTTTGATGTGCAAATGTTTTCCTACAAGCTTAGTCGAACCGGCGCTCAGTTGATTCAAGAACCTGCCAAGGGGCTTAGTGGACAGTTTCCGTAGTTTGTGTGATCGGTTCATAAGCCAGTACTATGGGAATAAGCACCAGACATCTCTAGTTTGTTCACCATGAAATAGCATGACGATGAACGTCTCCAAGCTTTTCTTACCAGGTTTAACCTAACTAAGAGCATGGTGATAGAGTGCCATCCTTCTACAGCAGTACAAGCATTCAAGTTAGCAATGACCCGAGGGACACCGTTCCATACCAGTCTGGTGGTGAACACGCCGAAGACAATGGACGAGCTGAATAAGAGAGCTGATGGTTACGTGTGCCTGGAAGAGGAAGAAACAGCTAATGCTAGGAAGACATCTATCATCTCCACAGCAGAGAAGTCCAAAGCGAAGATACGGCAGAAGCAAGTTCCTACACAGCGTTAGACCTCCTGGAAGGCAGAGAAGAGACCTAGGGAGGATGATTTGGTTAGTCCACTCAAAGTTACATTGGTAAGGCTGTACTAAGAGAACAAAGATAAGTTTCACCCTCCTTTGCCAATTAGACAACCTCTTGAGCAGAGGGATCAATCTAAATATTGTGCTTTTCATAGTGATTTTGGTCATCAGACTAATGAATGCAGGAACTTAAGGAGATAAATGGAGATGCTGATCGCTAGGGGAGAGTTTGCAGGATACGTGCAAGGGCTGGCACAGGAGCAGAGTCAACCGGCAGAACAAGTCAAAAGAAACCAGAAGCCGAATCATCATAATGCTCAGCCCATTCGGATTATAAATGCGATTCATGGTCGACTTGAACGAGCCGAAGAATTGACCCAAACGTATCTTCGACAAGAACAAATGAAGAGAAGAATAGGCAATGTCAACATTCTGCACTAGCAGAGCGCATCAACACAGATAAGATTCGATAAAGCGGACTTAATGCTAGTTCAGATCCCTCATAAAGACCCTCTAGTCGTTAAATTATCGTTAGTTTAACAGTGGCAGAGTGTTTGGTACAAAGGGTGCTAATTGATTCAGGAAGCAGTGCCAATATCATGCCTAGAGTCACCTTCGATCGGCTGGAAATCAAGTTAGAGGAGCTCAAGTGTACTGGGAACCCACTGTTGGGATTTGATGGAAAACGAGTTGAACCAATCGATACAGTAGAATTGCTTGTCTAGGCAGCCGAACGGGACCTTATCGAGAGCTTTGTGGTGGTGGAGATCCATCCTCTTACAATCTATTGATGGGGAGAGGGTGGATTCATAGGGTACAGGGAGTCCCATCGACCCTGCACCAAGTGATGAGATGCTTGGGTCCAGACGGGAACAAGGTGATTAACAACCATGGAGATCAGGTTGCAGTAAAGGAATGTTACTCAGTAACTTTGAAAGTTGCAGGGAAGGGGAAAGCTCCCATTCGCCCAGCTATCCCACAATAGCAATTAAAGAAACCTCCCCTCGACACGACCGGGGAGGAGCTTCTAGTGCAAACCGAGGAACCCCTAGTTGAAGTTCAAATGGATCATTTAAGGCCAGATCGAACCACAAAGGTAGGTTCAGGGCTTGCTGAGGAAGAAAAACGTCAATTGGTTGATTTCCTCTCCC